CTCATTTCTTTTTATTAGTGAAGTTCCTTGTGATTAAAATGACTACTCATAAATAGAAATTTTATATATATGTGTAGGAATTTTGTGATGTGTATATCAAGTGTTTGAAGATGTTGATAGTCTTAAAATCATCTTATTATTGTAAAGAAATAAGCTTGCATGTGTAGTTTATACATTTAAAGAGAAGATTGAAAATAATTAATCTGTTTTGAATTTGCCATAATGTTTGCCCGAATTTTTAGACAATTTTATACTCAAAATTTCAAGATGATTTCTTCTACAAAGTTGTTGATAATGATGTCTAATTCATCCAGAAATTTTGGCAACAATTTTTGAGCTTTCTACAAATTTATAAAAAATTTTAACTAAATCTGAAACTGTGTTGAAAATAATCTATTTTGAATCTGCCAGAATGTTTTCTCGAATTTTTAGACAATTTTATACTTAACATTTCGAGATGATTTCTTTTACAAAATTGTTGAGAATGATGTCTAGTTCATCCAGGAATTTTGGCAACAATGTTTGAGCATTCTACGAATTTATACAAATTTTTAACTAAATCTGAAATTGTGAGACATATTTTATTATGTATTTGAAAATTTATTTACAATTCTATACTAAGCCAAATCTGGTAATTTCTAACTAAAAGATGAAATTTGAGAAGTCTAGTTTCATGATAAATTTTTAGATTATGGATTTGATCTATGAATTTAAGCATGGAATTAATGTAAGGAAATGTGACAAATCTGTGTCATAAAAAATTGCTAGAAATTTTACAGGATTATTTACAGCTTCTTTTTCTGAAATTCTTTCTGAAAAGTGACCTAAACTTCCCTATTGAGTATTCTGTTCAATTGCACGAATTTTTGAATTGTGTAAATAATTTATTTATAATTTTTAATACTTAAGTTACAGTCTGAAATTTTCTGGACAGGATAAAATCATCACTTCAATATTGTGTTGGTCTAATCCATCAACTATTATAAATTAGTAATCCATGTATGGGTGTGTTGTGATTTATTTAATATTGTGCTAATCTAATTTTGTAAATCAAAAAAAATTTATGCATGTGTGTAATTATGGTTTATTTCTTGTATCTAAGTTATTATGTTCATACCATGGCTTAAATTAATTGTCTATTAAATTTTGTACATTTAATTATTATTGTGTGACATGTACAATGTTTTATGTTGAGAGTTTTTTTTTTTGTTGGTATAACATTATTGGTGATTGAGATTTGAATAATTTGTGTTTTATATATTAATTAACTGAAATAATTAATGGTATATATAAAGTTACTGATAAAGGGTTAATACTGGGTATTCAGGGTGAACCCTGATTTTTAATAATTTTTAAGTAAATTGTGTCGCGAAACCCTAAGATGGCACGAGGATTATTTAAACCCTTATCGGTATTTGGTTTTGGAATAAGGGTGGATGTGCGGGTGGCACGCAGGGAAGTTACGAACCCCTGGCAGACCGTTCCCTTGAGGCAGACCACGGATGTCACGGCTTGGGTATATAACTCCGGGCGTGGGCATCTTTGGTAGTTCTTAAATATTTGACCAATGGGGGATTTCCAAATTAACCGTGGCCATGACTTAGTGGTTGGTAAGTTAAACCTCTTTGGCAAGATTTCAAAGGTCACCTAAGTTATTAAAATTATTTGAATTATTTTGTTGGTTGTAATTTATGTTTATAATTATATTATTACCTCGTGTTTATAATCTCATTATTTTGTCTCAAAAAGAATGGTGGGTTGGTTATGTTTTCTTACTGTGTTGCAAAACTCATGGCATATATTTTGTTGCCCTGGTGTTTCATGCCAGATTATGTCGAGGAAGGGACTGAGGCGGAAATTGGAGCTACTGCTAATATCGAACCTTGGCAAACTTAGAGTCAAGATTTTACCAAAATAAAATCCTGTTATTTCTTGTATTAGTATTTAACTATGTTGTGACGTTGTGTGTGAACTTGTAATTTTATTTTGTTATTGGACTTTGACTATGTAAGAATTTAAAATTTCCTAATTAGCAGTTAAAATTCTATCTAGCAAGTTATTGTTATTTAAAGTCTTATGATGTCAAAAAAAAAAAAAAATTTGGGGCGTCACATGTTTAACATGAACTTCCTCATTTATAAAACCATTTAGAAAGACACTTTTTACATCCATTTGATAAAGTTTGAAATCTCTAAAACATGCAAATGCAAGTAACATGCGAATCGCTTCTAATCTAGCAACTGGAGCAAAGGTTTCATCAAAATCAATACATTCTTCTTGATTGTATCCTTGTGTAACAAGTCTAGCCTTGTTTCTTACAATTGTGCTGGATTCATCAAGCTTGTTTCGAAAGATCCATTTGGTACCGATAATGGTATAATCTTTTGGTTTTGGCACAAGTTCCCACATTTTGTTTCTCTGAAATTGGTTAAGCTCTTCATGCATAGCTATCATCCAATGTTCATCGAATTCAGCTTCTTGAAAGTTTTTAGGCTCAATCTATGAGAGAAAAGCCAAGTTACTACAAATATTTCTAAATGAAGAGCGAGTTTCAATATCTTTTGTAGGGTCACTTAGGATTAAATCCTTAGGATGATTATGAACAAACTTTCATTCTCTTGGCAAATCATCATTGTTTCCTCCTTCTACTTGAGGTGGGAGAATAGGTTGTTTAATCTCTTTGTTCAACATACATGGTTGATTCTCTTCTTTGTAGATACTTAAATCTTTCACATTTGGTTCCAAATCTATATTATCATTAACAATTTACTTTTGAGCAGAGATGTTAGTTTCATCAAATGCCACATGTATAGATTCTTCCACAACAAGAGTTCTTTTACTAAAAATACGATAAGCTTTGCTAGTTAAGGAATAGCCAAGAAAAATTGTTTCATTAGATTTTGAATCAAATTTATCTAAGTTATCCTTACCATTATTATGTACAAAACATTTACAATAAAAAACATGCAAGTGACTAATGTTGGGCTTTCTATCATGCAAAAGTTCATAAGGAGTCTTTTTGAGAATAGGTCTAATTAATGTACGATTTAATACATAGCATGTAGTGTGAACGACTTCGGCCCAAAAATATTTAGGAAAATTATTTTCGCAAAGCATTGTTCTACTCATCTCTTCTAAAGTTTTATTCTTCCTTTCTACTACACTATTTTGTTGAGGGGTTCTATGTACTGAAAAATTATGTCCAATACCATGCTCATCACAAAACAATTCAAATTTCTCATTTTCAAGTTCTCTACCATGGTTGGTTCGAATATTAGTAATAAGAAAGCCTTTTTCATTTTGAATTCTACGACAGAGTTTTATGAAAGAAGAAAATGTTTCATCTTTGTGTGCTAAAAACATAACCCATGTAAATCTTGAATAATCATCAACAATAATAAGACAATAACGTTTACCACCTAGACTAGATGTATTTGAGAGACCAAATAAATCCATATGTAATAGTTGTAAAGGTCTAGTTGTGGAAATATGAGATTTTGATTTAAATGATGTTTTAGTTTGTTTTCCTTGTTGACAAGCACTACAAATATGATTTTTTTTTAAATTTAATTTTTGGAAGTCCAATGACCAAATCCTTTTTCAAAAATTTAGCAATTAAATCCATATGAGCATGACCAAGTTTTCTATGTCATAATCAACTATTTTCATTATTAACATATAAACAATTAACATCACTGGCATAGAGATCATTAAGATGAAAAACATGAATATTATCATGGCGATTACCAACAAATAAAGCTTTATGATCATTTGTACTTTCAATTGTGCAATGTGATTTATCAAAAATAACTCGATTACCTTTATCACATAATTGACTAATACTAAGTAGATTATGCTTAAGTCCATCAACAAGTAAAACAATTTCAATAGAAGGGTTAGGAGAAATACCGATGCTATCAATATCGATAATTTTTCCTTTCTTGTTGTCTCCAAAAGTAGCAAATCCTCCATCTTTCGATGATAGTTTAGTAAAGAATGATTTATCTCCGGTCATGTGTCTCGGACATCCACTATCAAGGTACCACTTCCCTTCTTTAGCTTTGAATTTAAAGCAAACCTACAAGATGACAATCAAGTATTGGTTTTTGGTACCCATAGTTTCTTGGGTCATTCTGGGTTAGTTTTGTTAGATCCCTTAATAATCCAAATCTTTTTAATTCCCATGTTCATATTCTTTTTGAATGGACAATAAGATATATAATGACCTTTCTTTTTACAATAATGACAAGTAATATGAGGGTGTGTCATGAGAGGTGTCTTTTCAAAATTATATTGAGATTCTTTTGTTTCTTAATAGGATCATATCCAATACCCGCTTTATCAAAAACACATCTTTGATTTCCAAGAAGCATGTTGAGATTATCTCTACCTTTTACAAAATTTTCAAGTGTTTTTGTTAAATCATCAACATTATTTTTTAAAGTAGTTTTCTCATTAGAGATAGTATCAAAATCATTTTTCAAAATAATTTTTTCCTTCTTTAATTCTTCTACATTAATAGATAAAGATGCAACAGATTTCTTCAACATATTATTTTTGGCACAAACTTTTCTAAATTCATTTGATAGTTCATGGATTGCACTTTTAAGTTCTTCATAAAGAGTAGTTACCTCATATTGAGTAGAGTCTTCATCTTCAAGAGCCATGAGACATAAGTTAGCTACTTCATTTTCAATTTCATTACTTGAGCTGTTATCTTCACTTTCTCCCCAAGCTGCTACCATGGCCTTTTTGTTTCTTTTGTAATCTTTTCCATGATTCTTCAATTTTGGACAATCCATCTTTATATGTCCCGGATTTTTGCACTCATAGCAAATAATAGGCTCTTTCTTGTTATCTTTGTTGTACTCTTTCTTGAAAGGTCTTCTTCTTCCATAATTGTTTTTCTTGAAGTGCTTTTTGAGATTTCTACTAAACATGACATAGCTTTCATCCTCACTGGAGTTTTCATGTTCTTATTCATTTGATAAGGCTTTGAATGCAATTCCACTTTTCTTTTTGTTTTTAACATCCTCATGTCCTTTCATGGTGATCTCATGAGTTATAAAGGAACCCATAAGCTCATCCAATCCAAGTGTGGAGAGATCTTTGGCTTCTATAATGGCGATGACCTTTGCTTTCCAATTCTGTGATAAACACCAAAGAATTTTTCATACCAACTCATTGTTAGTATAAGTTTTGCCAATAGATTTCAAAGAGTTTACAATTTCAGTAAATCTAGTAAACATACTTGAAATAGATTCATCAGAGTTCATTTTAAACAATTCATAACTATGAACAAGCATATCAATACGAGATTCCTTTACTTGGTTTGTACCTTCATAAGTTACTTCAAGTTTGTCCCAAATTTCTTTTGTCGAACCACAACTTGAAATTCTATTATACTCCTTAGAGTCTAATCCACAAATAAGGGTGAGTTTGGCTTTAGCATTAGCTTGCAATAATTTGTAATCCCTCTTATCACATTCATCTTCAGTTTTAGATACACTAATATTGTCTACTAATTTGGTAGGAATTTTTGGACTTTTGGTGACAATAATCTACATAGCATAATCAGTGGCTTGTAGGTATAGGGTCATCTTATCTTTCCAATGACTATAGTTGTTTCCGTCAAATAATGGTGGCCTATTGGTGGCTTATCTTTCAGTAGTGCTAGTGCTAGCTAAGGTTTCCATGGATCGAAACTCTTAGATGGTTAAATCTAAAGCAAGAGTCTAGGCTCAGATACCAATTGTTATCCAGAAGACAACCTAAGAGGGGGGTGAATTATGTTTTTATAATTAAAATTAATAATATCCTAATAAAAATTATGCGTAGCACAATAGATAAATACAATTAATGAAATAAAAATAATTAAAACAAGTGTCTTAACAACTATGTTAGTTAATGATTTTAGCACAGTAAAAATGTGAAATATAACTAAATATTTCTAAGACATTGAAAAAACGTGTACCGTTAGATGATGATGAATCGGTGGACTCCGAGAGATATGGTGGATCGTTAGCCTCTTTGCCCATCAACGACGCTGTATTAACTCTCCTCAATATTTCTAAGACATTGAAAAAACGTGTACCGTTAGATGATGATGAATCGGTGGACTCCGAGAGATATGGTGGATCGTTAGCCTCTTTGCCCATCAACGACGCTGTATTAACTCTCCTCAATATTTCTAAGACATTGAAAAAACGTGTACCGTTAGATGATGATGAATCGGTGGACTCCGAGAGATATGGTGGATCGTTAGCCTCTTTGCCCATCAACGACGCTGTATTAACTCTCCTCAATATTTCTAAGACATTGAAAAAACGTGTACCGTTAGATGATGATGAATCGGTGGACTCCGAGAGATATGGTGGATCGTTAGCCTCTTTGCCCATCAACGACGCTGTATTAACTCTCCTCAATATTTCTAAGACATTGAAAAAACGTGTACCGTTAGATGATGATGAATCGGTGGACTCCGAGAGATATGGTGGATCGTTAGCCTCTTTGCCCATCAACGACGCTGTATTAACTCTCCTCAATATTTCTAAGACATTGAAAAAACGTGTACCGTTAGATGATGATGAATCGGTGGACTCCGAGAGATATGGTGGATCGTTAGCCTCTTTGCCCATCAACGACGCTGTATTAACTCTCCTCAATATTTCTAAGACATTGAAAAAACGTGTACCGTTAGATGATGATGAATCGGTGGACTCCGAGAGATATGGTGGATCGTTAGCCTCTTTGCCCATCAACGACGCTGTATTAACTCTCCTCAATATTTCTAAGACATTGAAAAAACGTGTACCGTTAGATGATGATGAATCGGTGGACTCCGAGAGATATGGTGGATCGTTAGCCTCTTTGCCCATCAACGACGCTGTATTAACTCTCCTCAATATTTCTAAGACATTGAAAAAACGTGTACCGTTAGATGATGATGAATCGGTGGACTCCGAGAGATATGGTGGATCGTTAGCCTCTTTGCCCATCAACGACGCTGTATTAACTCTCCTCAATATTTCTAAGACATTGAAAAAACGTGTACCGTTAGATGATGATGAATCGGTGGACTCCGAGAGATATGGTGGATCGTTAGCCTCTTTGCCCATCAACGACGCTGTATTAACTCTCCTCAATATTTCTAAGACATTGAAAAAACGTGTACCGTTAGATGATGATGAATCGGTGGACTCCGAGAGATATGGTGGATCGTTAGCCTCTTTGCCCATCAACGACGCTGTATTAACTCTCCTCAATATTTCTAAGACATTGAAAAAACGTGTACCGTTAGATGATGATGAATCGGTGGACTCCGAGAGATATGGTGGATCGTTAGCCTCTTTGCCCATCAACGACGCTGTATTAACTCTCCTCAATATTTCTAAGACATTGAAAAAACGTGTACCGTTAGATGATGATGAATCGGTGGACTCCGAGAGATATGGTGGATCGTTAGCCTCTTTGCCCATCAACGACGCTGTATTAACTCTCCTCAATATTTCTAAGACATTGAAAAAACGTGTACCGTTAGATGATGATGAATCGGTGGACTCCGAGAGATATGGTGGATCGTTAGCCTCTTTGCCCATCAACGACGCTGTATTAACTCTCCTCAATATTTCTAAGACATTGAAAAAACGTGTACCGTTAGATGATGATGAATCGGTGGACTCCGAGAGATATGGTGGATCGTTAGCCTCTTTGCCCATCAACGACGCTGTATTAACTCTCCTCAATATTTCTAAGACATTGAAAAAACGTGTACCGTTAGATGATGATGAATCGGTGGACTCCGAGAGATATGGTGGATCGTTAGCCTCTTTGCCCATCAACGACGCTGTATTAACTCTCCTCAATATTTCTAAGACATTGAAAAAACGTGTACCGTTAGATGATGATGAATCGGTGGACTCCGAGAGATATGGTGGATCGTTAGCCTCTTTGCCCATCAACGACGCTGTATTAACTCTCCTCAATATTTCTAAGACATTGAAAAAACGTGTACCGTTAGATGATGATGAATCGGTGGACTCCGAGAGATATGGTGGATCGTTAGCCTCTTTGCCCATCAACGACGCTGTATTAACTCTCCTCAATATTTCTAAGACATTGAAAAAACGTGTACCGTTAGATGATGATGAATCGGTGGACTCCGAGAGATATGGTGGATCGTTAGCCTCTTTGCCCATCAACGACGCTGTATTAACTCTCCTCAATATTTCTAAGACATTGAAAAAACGTGTACCGTTAGATGATGATGAATCGGTGGACTCCGAGAGATATGGTGGATCGTTAGCCTCTTTGCCCATCAACGACGCTGTATTAACTCTCCTCAATATTTCTAAGACATTGAAAAAACGTGTACCGTTAGATGATGATGAATCGGTGGACTCCGAGAGATATGGTGGATCGTTAGCCTCTTTGCCCATCAACGACGCTGTATTAACTCTCCTCAATATTTCTAAGACATTGAAAAAACGTGTACCGTTAGATGATGATGAATCGGTGGACTCCGAGAGATATGGTGGATCGTTAGCCTCTTTGCCCATCAACGACGCTGTATTAACTCTCCTCAATATTTCTAAGACATTGAAAAAACGTGTACCGTTAGATGATGATGAATCGGTGGACTCCGAGAGATATGGTGGATCGTTAGCCTCTTTGCCCATCAACGACGCTGTATTAACTCTCCTCAATATTTCTAAGACATTGAAAAAACGTGTACCGTTAGATGATGATGAATCGGTGGACTCCGAGAGATATGGTGGATCGTTAGCCTCTTTGCCCATCAACGACGCTGTATTAACTCTCCTCAATATTTCTAAGACATTGAAAAAACGTGTACCGTTAGATGATGATGAATCGGTGGACTCCGAGAGATATGGTGGATCGTTAGCCTCTTTGCCCATCAACGACGCTGTATTAACTCTCCTCAATATTTCTAAGACATTGAAAAAACGTGTACCGTTAGATGATGATGAATCGGTGGACTCCGAGAGATATGGTGGATCGTTAGCCTCTTTGCCCATCAACGACGCTGTATTAACTCTCCTCAATATTTCTAAGACATTGAAAAAACGTGTACCGTTAGATGATGATGAATCGGTGGACTCCGAGAGATATGGTGGATCGTTAGCCTCTTTGCCCATCAACGACGCTGTATTAACTCTCCTCAATATTTCTAAGACATTGAAAAAACGTGTACCGTTAGATGATGATGAATCGGTGGACTCCGAGAGATATGGTGGATCGTTAGCCTCTTTGCCCATCAACGACGCTGTATTAACTCTCCTCAATATTTCTAAGACATTGAAAAAACGTGTACCGTTAGATGATGATGAATCGGTGGACTCCGAGAGATATGGTGGATCGTTAGCCTCTTTGCCCATCAACGACGCTGTATTAACTCTCCTCAATATTTCTAAGACATTGAAAAAACGTGTACCGTTAGATGATGATGAATCGGTGGACTCCGAGAGATATGGTGGATCGTTAGCCTCTTTGCCCATCAACGACGCTGTATTAACTCTCCTCAATATTTCTAAGACATTGAAAAAACGTGTACCGTTAGATGATGATGAATCGGTGGACTCCGAGAGATATGGTGGATCGTTAGCCTCTTTGCCCATCAACGACGCTGTATTAACTCTCCTCAATATTTCTAAGACATTGAAAAAACGTGTACCGTTAGATGATGATGAATCGGTGGACTCCGAGAGATATGGTGGATCGTTAGCCTCTTTGCCCATCAACGACGCTGTATTAACTCTCCTCAATATTTCTAAGACATTGAAAAAACGTGTACCGTTAGATGATGATGAATCGGTGGACTCCGAGAGATATGGTGGATCGTTAGCCTCTTTGCCCATCAACGACGCTGTATTAACTCTCCTCAATATTTCTAAGACATTGAAAAAACGTGTACCGTTAGATGATGATGAATCGGTGGACTCCGAGAGATATGGTGGATCGTTAGCCTCTTTGCCCATCAACGACGCTGTATTAACTCTCCTCAATATTTCTAAGACATTGAAAAAACGTGTACCGTTAGATGATGATGAATCGGTGGACTCCGAGAGATATGGTGGATCGTTAGCCTCTTTGCCCATCAACGACGCTGTATTAACTCTCCTCAATATTTCTAAGACATTGAAAAAACGTGTACCGTTAGATGATGATGAATCGGTGGACTCCGAGAGATATGGTGGATCGTTAGCCTCTTTGCCCATCAACGACGCTGTATTAACTCTCCTCAATATTTCTAAGACATTGAAAAAACGTGTACCGTTAGATGATGATGAATCGGTGGACTCCGAGAGATATGGTGGATCGTTAGCCTCTTTGCCCATCAACGACGCTGTATTAACTCTCCTCAATATTTCTAAGACATTGAAAAAACGTGTACCGTTAGATGATGATGAATCGGTGGACTCCGAGAGATATGGTGGATCGTTAGCCTCTTTGCCCATCAACGACGCTGTATTAACTCTCCTCAATATTTCTAAGACATTGAAAAAACGTGTACCGTTAGATGATGATGAATCGGTGGACTCCGAGAGATATGGTGGATCGTTAGCCTCTTTGCCCATCAACGACGCTGTATTAACTCTCCTCAATATTTCTAAGACATTGAAAAAACGTGTACCGTTAGATGATGATGAATCGGTGGACTCCGAGAGATATGGTGGATCGTTAGCCTCTTTGCCCATCAACGACGCTGTATTAACTCTCCTCAATATTTCTAAGACATTGAAAAAACGTGTACCGTTAGATGATGATGAATCGGTGGACTCCGAGAGATATGGTGGATCGTTAGCCTCTTTGCCCATCAACGACGCTGTATTAACTCTCCTCAATATTTCTAAGACATTGAAAAAACGTGTACCGTTAGATGATGATGAATCGGTGGACTCCGAGAGATATGGTGGATCGTTAGCCTCTTTGCCCATCAACGACGCTGTATTAACTCTCCTCAATATTTCTAAGACATTGAAAAAACGTGTACCGTTAGATGATGATGAATCGGTGGACTCCGAGAGATATGGTGGATCGTTAGCCTCTTTGCCCATCAACGACGCTGTATTAACTCTCCTCAATATTTCTAAGACATTGAAAAAACGTGTACCGTTAGATGATGATGAATCGGTGGACTCCGAGAGATATGGTGGATCGTTAGCCTCTTTGCCCATCAACGACGCTGTATTAACTCTCCTCAATATTTCTAAGACATTGAAAAAACGTGTACCGTTAGATGATGATGAATCGGTGGACTCCGAGAGATATGGTGGATCGTTAGCCTCTTTGCCCATCAACGACGCTGTATTAACTCTCCTCAATATTTCTAAGACATTGAAAAAACGTGTACCGTTAGATGATGATGAATCGGTGGACTCCGAGAGATATGGTGGATCGTTAGCCTCTTTGCCCATCAACGACGCTGTATTAACTCTCCTCAATATTTCTAAGACATTGAAAAAACGTGTACCGTTAGATGATGATGAATCGGTGGACTCCGAGAGATATGGTGGATCGTTAGCCTCTTTGCCCATCAACGACGCTGTATTAACTCTCCTCAATATTTCTAAGACATTGAAAAAACGTGTACCGTTAGATGATGATGAATCGGTGGACTCCGAGAGATATGGTGGATCGTTAGCCTCTTTGCCCATCAACGACGCTGTATTAACTCTCCTCAATATTTCTAAGACATTGAAAAAACGTGTACCGTTAGATGATGATGAATCGGTGGACTCCGAGAGATATGGTGGATCGTTAGCCTCTTTGCCCATCAACGACGCTGTATTAACTCTCCTCAATATTTCTAAGACATTGAAAAAACGTGTACCGTTAGATGATGATGAATCGGTGGACTCCGAGAGATATGGTGGATCGTTAGCCTCTTTGCCCATCAACGACGCGGTATTAACTCTCCTCTCCTCAGCAAGAGAGAATGAGAGAGAGTGTGTATGTTCGCGATGCGATGAGAGAGAGAGAGAGAATAATTCTCCAATGAAGCTTCGAGGAAACTTCCTGCCTAAATAATGTCCATTAATAACATTGCTCAAAAAACTAGGATGATAACAATGGGTAATTTGTCCCTATTTGTTTTGGTCCCTAACTTTCTAATGTTTTGTTATTTTAGCATCCTTTTATTTATTTATTCTACATTTTGATTCCTAACATTAATTTACTTTAACATTTGATATTTTTTTAAAAAAGAAATTAAGATGAGTTTTCATTTTTTTTTGATGAATTTTTGTATACTTTTGTGAATCCTTTGTACTTTTTATATGCACTTAATCAATATGCATCTGAAAAGTAAAAAAAAAATTGACAAAATATTTTTAAAAATCACTAAAAATAAATGAAAATTGAAATAAAAATGTGTATATTTTTATTTTTATTTTAGTGAATTCTTTTCATATTTTAGTTATTTTTTTATTTTTTTAGGTGCATTTAATGTTGATTTATCTAATAAGTAAAAAAAAAAGACTAAAATATGAAGGAAAAAAAAAACAGTAAAGACAAATGAAAATATGTTTCAAAAAATAATCTATAAAAATGCAAACCAAACAAAGCCTCCACAAGTATACTAAAAAAATATCACATGATTGTCATGCAAGCATTCACATGGTGCCATGTATCATAAATTTGAGTAGATTCCAATTGAAATATTAAGTTTAAGTTTTTTTTTTTTTCATTTTATCCCTCACAATTTTTTTCATTTTGTCTATATTATTTCTAGTATTTTTCAATTTACTTTATTAATCAATGTCGGCTTAAAATGGGATAAAAATCGTGACATTGACCGCTAAATAAAAATCACGTGATATAATAACACATTATTATACAAATTTATTTAATTCAAAACCAAAATCTATAACCAATTCAAGAGTAAAAAATTCAAAATAGACACAAAAACACAGTACAACTATTGAAACCCCTACTTCATCATTTCACCATTCTTTTTCAGGCTTTTTTGACTATTTTAGCCACAAAAAACAAAATAGGCTATTTTAGCCATAACAAACAAAACATCACATCCAACCCATAATCATTACACTATTCTCTCACAAAAAAGTCAAAAAAGCCAAAAAGCCAAAAAGCCCTTCCCAAACCAAGCTTTTTAGCCCAGGCTAAAATAGCCAAAAAAGCCAAAAAGTCAAAAAGCCAGCCCACTTCCCAAACGGAGGCTTATTGTGTTATAACTCTCAAAGTTTCATTCCCAATAATACTTATCATATTTTACTATAAATGAAACAATAGTGATTGTTGAAGTAATGGTACAAAGATAGATAGTAGTGGAAGAAAATAGATAAATGGTATTTTATAATCTGAAATAATGGCTATTATGCATAGATAAATAAATTTTTAATTTGGTTTAAATTTATATAAATAATGTTTTATGCCAAGTTGGCTGCCAACATGGTATTTTGTCTGTTCACTTTTGGACTGGCGTTAATTGTTTGGGCAAATTGAAAAACATCAGAAACATTAGGAATTAAAATGCTTAAACAAAATAATTAAGGGTCAAAATACAAACTGCAAAACATTAAGGGGCATAGTATAATTTATCTAAAATTATACAAGCGACATGTTATTATGCCATGTAGTCACGCGAATCCAGTTCCTTTGGATGTTGACTTGGGTGGGAGGGCAATTTTGACAAACTAGTTAAAAGTTAATTTTTTAATTATATTATTTTTTATATTTTTTAATATATTTTTAAAAAAGTTAAAAAAATTAAAAAATTAATTTTTAATTAATTTCTTAAAATAATCTTAAATTGGGATCTATCTATCTATCAATCTATATCTGTTTATATAATAAAGTAAGATTATTTTTGAAAATGTATCAAAATATATCAAAAATACATTTGGTTTTAATGATTTAGATCAATTCTAAGTACATATCAATGGTTCAAATACATTTACTTCCCGCTCAAACATTTGTCTTCCATAGCTATCCCACCTACCAAGGTCTTCTCCCCATTTCCTCTTTATCTATGTCTCCCTCTCTATTCTCATGTCTCCTCTCCATTCTCTTTTTATCTCTCTTCCTCATTGTACTTCTTCTTGAACAGAACCACCAACAACACCTGCCTCCCTAACTTTCCTATGTTTCTTTTTCTTGAAGAGAACGCTCTTGACCATCGCCATCGCGACCACCGACCACCTCTCCTCTCCCTCGCCGGAGACCCAAACCCGAACCCCCTATTTCTGTCTGCCTCCTTCTCTTCCAGCTACAGCCTCAATAACAAATCATATATATATATATATAGAGAGAGAGAGAGAGAGAGAGATTACCTCTTTGTCGAGGAGTTTAGAGATGTAACGCTTGGCCTGAACAGCAGTGACATCACCTCCGAAATCGTGCCAGATCAAACAGCGGCCCTTGATGTCAAGAATGAAAAGCGCCAAGGCGATGCCTGCTGTTGATGAATTTTACTGCGAAGATCAATCTATGTGTGTGTGTATACATATGTATACATATATATCAACTACATGAATGAGGATTGGATTGAAGAGAGCTAAATTACAGAGTTGTGTAGAGAAAAGCAGACGAGATCGTGATCGCAATTGAACGTTTCAAATCTGGGACCAATTTGAAGGCTTCCCTGTGTTTGTGTTTGTGTTTGTGTTTGTGTTTGTGTTTGTGTTTCTTTCATATTTTATTAGTCCTGTGGAAGAAAGAAACTTTTCAATCTCATCTCTATTCTAATTCATACCCAAAAAATAAATAAATAAATTTTGACAATAATGTGATAATGTGATTATTATAAATAAATTTATTTTTTATATTATTTTATTTTGAAATAAAAAATTCACAATCAATTCTATTATTATATATAGATTTGTTCAATTTGTATAACATTAGTTTTTAAAAAAAAAATTATAATATTGAATTATAGTGAAAATTTTGAAATTATGTATTTGCCATTTATTTTTGAGAAAATAACTTATGAGTGGAAATGAGATAAAAAATTACTAACAAATGAGTGAAAACGTTTTTGGAATAACAACTCCGATGAGAAAAATAAATATTAAGGAGCTGTTTGAGATTCGCTTACTTAGTGTATTTTTTAACTTTTTATAAAAAAAAAAAAAAATATGTAGAAAAATAGAAAAGTGATGAGACATAAATAAGTACACCAATCAAATAAGTGCATTATTTAGATTATCCCTAAATATGAGGGTTTTTGAATCTTCAATGTATTTTTGTCCTACTAGGAGATTTTGACGGCTTAGATCTGTTCAAATTACAAAACAACGGCTGTGATGTATTCTACGTGTACATTTTCCACTTTCCTGCTTTTTTCTCTTACTTTTTTCTTTTTTCACCCACACTTCCCATGATCCCATAAATAATCCCCTGATCCCACATTCCTCTTCTTTTTATTTTTTTATTTCCCCACTTTTTTTTTTTATATTTTCCTCCCTATTTTTTTTTTTATGTTCTTTTTTTTGTTCACTTATTTTTATTTACACCGTGCCTTTAGGTACGAGCATGCACTAGTCTATCTATATATTATATAAGGAAAATGAGATTTTTAGTGAGGAACCTTGTGAGAGCTTCAATATATCATACTAATTTTCTTGATTTTATTAATTTTAAACAATTAAGAAAATCTCCATTAGCTAACTTTTATTTGATAATCCCACATCGGGAAAGAAAGAAAAAAATGAGTTGTTTTACTCATATAAAGGAAATCTTATATTCTCATCCCATTTAGTGAGGAGCCTTGTGAGAGTCTCAATGCCTTGTGAGAATTTCAATATATCATACTAATTTTCTTGATTTTCTTAATTTTAAATAATTAAGAAAATCTCCATTGTCTAACTTTTATTTGATAATCCCACATTGAAAAAATCAAGAAAAAAAAATGAGTTGTTTTACTCATATAAAGAGAATCTTATACTTTAGTGAGGAGCCTTGTGAGAGTTTCAATATCTCATACTAATTTTCTTTATTTTTTCAATTTTAACCAATTAAAAAAAATCTCCATTGGCTAATTTTTATTTGAAAATTTCACATCGAGAAAATAAGAAAAAAAAATGAGTTATTTTACTCATATAAAGTGAATTTTATACTCTCATCCCATTTAATATTATAGTGTTGTGTATGTTTCAATTCAATATAATTTAAATTTTAAAAGTTTTAATTAATTAATTATGACCTAACCGGTTAGGTAGTTTTTATTTGATAATCCCACATCGAAAAAATTAGAAGAAAAAAAGAGTAATTTACTCATATAAAGTGAATCTTATACTCCCATCCCATTCAATATTGTAGTAATATGTATGTTTCAATTCAATATTGTTTCAATTTTAAAAGTTTTAATTAATTAATTATGACCTAACTGATTAGGCTAAATCATTTTTTTATTTGATTTGATTCCTTATATAATATATAAATTTTATACTTTATTAAAACTTTTAGCATTACAAAATTAATAATTAAGTTTTATCAAATATTCTTTAAATCTAATCATCAACCTATTTTTTAAACAAAATTTTCTCATTCAAAATTTTGGCAAATATTTATTTAGGAAAACTATCCACATGTTAGTGCACCATGTTCACGGTCATTATTAAGCTTATGTAATTTAAGCCCTAATCTAAATGCACCTTGTATTTTTAAAATTTTGTTTAATGTTTTGCATGACCCATAAAATGGTTATAAATTATAAGTAAAATTTTAAAATATTAATTTAAAATAAGTTGTAAATTTATTTGGTGCAATGTAACTTTTGATATGTATTTAAGGATTCCAAAAAAGTTTTTTTTTTATAAAAAAAAGCTACAAATTATAGTTTAAAAAAACCTCTATTTTTTAGCCAAATAAGTTATAAAAATATCAAATAAATTATAATTTAAAATTACAACTAAATAAACTTAGTCACACAATATAATATAATATAAAAATATAATAAGTATAACATTATTTAAGAAAAAGTGCACTACCTATAAAATCTGAAAATTAAAAGCAACCCTTATAAAAATTTTGAAATATGAAATCA